GATTGAGTAGGAAGCCAGTGTAGCCTGGCCACCAGAATTCCTGCCGCCCTTGGAAAGGCGGCGGCTTTGCTTTTCTTCCCTCTGTGTCAAGGCTGTGCTATGTGGAGGTCCACTCAGATTTTCTGTTAGTTCTTCAGGTAGTTATTAGGATGTACTGTAGAAAGCGCCTCTAACTCTCTAATTTTGAAAATAGAGGCAGCACTTAATAAGCAAGTTGATGAATGTATTATTAGAATTGAGGTTTGGGATTTCCTGAATGGCAACTGTTTTGTTTATAATAAGCCCTTCCTGTGACCTGTTTCTATATTAGAAGATACCAAGGAGCTCCTGCTTTTGGGCTTGATAGAACTGGCAATTACATGTTTGCTTCAAACAGTAGTTTCTTGATTATATTTTAGAAGGGTCAGAAGAGATTTTAGCCAGACATCGTAATTTCGCAGCATGGTATAATTTTATTTAGCAAAGCACAGTATTAACAATTAAAATAATTATATGGGGAAGGAGGGAGGCTGTATTTAAGTGTAGCAACATATAAAGTATTTTCAGCACTGAATTTTACTGCATATTTATCAAGAGAATTATGTGATTAGGAATTAGTAAGACGCATGTCTGCTTCCATTCATAATGATTACAGTAGCCTAGAAAAGATTTTCAGATCTTTCAGAAACAATGTATCTCTTCTAAAAAATGATTCTACATTGATGCAGTTTTCTGTCTTATTGGCATATTAAGTACAACTGAAAAACCTTCTCATGGATGCGTTAGTACTTGTTAAATAATGCTTAACTTCTGCACTGTAGAAGCCTTGAATGTTCAAATACCTGAAACACGGAGGCTAAGTATTTGGGTTTATTTGTTTGGCAAATCCAGTGTTCACTGACCAGGAACAATTAAGCTATACTTATTTCACTTCTGTAAATCAGTACTTACAAATAAGTTTGTAGGTGATCACAAATATTAAAACTTTCTTTCAGGGTTTGAAAGTAGTTGCAGTAATGGAGTAATATCAAATAAAGCGCATCAATCTTACTGTCACAGTAAACACACGACCACCAGCTTGAATGTACCAGAGCTCAACAACATAAATGTATCAAGATCGCAGCAGGTTAACAGCTATTCCAGGTGAATAAACTTCAGATGCTTCTAACATAAATTAAGGCTGTGTTGTCCATGTGCTTGTATTGCAGAGAAGAGTTTTCAATGGGATTTATGTGAGGCTTTTTCAGGGACAGTTAAAACATGTAGTGTACGGGGCCAACAGCTTGTGATCACTCCAGTGTCCTTTGGTTTTCTTTTAACTTCTCAAGCTCAGTAGACTGTTTTCTTGTTTGGTTCAAGAAATGCAATGGATAAAAATAAATTACCTTGCTTAGAGCTCTTTTGGTCAGGCTTGAAGTTGTACAGTGAAGATTAACTAGCTCTCTGGCACCTGGGATTTTAATTTAAGCCACTGACATTGATTTAAGCACGTTGCATGTAGGTAGTGAAAAGTTTTCCAGATACTCTCTGTTTGTGGCAGTATCTGCAAAGCAAACACAACTGAGGTGCACATGAAATGTGGACTCCCTTCCATTGCATACAGAACTGTTTGCCTACTCCAATCAGTGTCACTTGGGCAAACACATTCAATTCAGAGAATGACAACAGATGTATTAACCCGGGTTAATATGGTTCTTCATAGCCAGTAAATGCTAAGCTCTGGGTTGCACAGATGCAGGAGAACCTAATTTGATGGAGCAGTGCTTGGCTGGGTTGACCAAGATGGATTCCCAAAACTACCAACTATGATGTGATGATGTGATGTTGATAACAAAAAGTATTTTCAGTTGGGTAGTCATGATTGGGGGGGGGGAAGAGTAACAATTTAATTTTAACTTTATGATTTGTATTTGCGTCAGCAGTTGCCTGTGCCAAAAAGCCTGGTAGTGTCCAGGCAACTTTGAGATTTTTCACAGGAGGAAAACAATTTGTTGGCTGCAGTGTTGCCCAGTCAGAGAGGCCTTTTGGTTTCCAATGCTCAGAGGAAGCTGAGCGTTTCTCGTTGCTTAGAAACAAGATATTAAACTTCTAAATGGAATCTTTTTGGTTTTGAGAGAGGTTTTAGGTTGTCATTCTCCATGATGAAATACAACAGGCTAGGATGTAACTGTCAGCAAAGCTCAGTCCCCAAAGCTCTGCTGGCGTTTTCTGAAAGTGCTGCTGCGACCTGCGGTGAGCAAAGTGTGGTGAGGAGTTGTACACTCGGAATTTGCCTCTGAGTATCTCTTCAGTGTCTTGGTTTACTCAGTATTTGCTTTGGGTTTTTCTTCTTTTCCCCTTTCATTCCACTGAGAGTAGATGAGAGATCAAGGCTTTTTTGAAAGAATTATTTAGCTAAATATGATATTCTCAAAGTAGACTCTATATTGAGTTAACTGTATTTAAAAAAAAAAAAGTGGGAATAGTGTATTTTCTCAATGCGTTTTCTCAGCTCTGTACATGTGCAGTTATATAAACAGGGTAAGAACTTTTCGGTGTGTGTTTACTCCTTCATAATGCTGGACATGTTTAATTTTTCAGTGTCTGAAAATGTTACTTTACTGAATGCTAATGTTAGCTGAGAGCCTTAAAATTTCCCTGGTGCGCTGGTATTGCCAGCTGCTATGCAAAAAACTGTGGTCTAACCTGGTAATATTTAAAAGCAGCTTTTCAGTAGCCAAGATGAGGAAGTTCTGTACCAAAGTTCTGAAGAAGATAACCCTAACTACTTAAATACGAGTAAAACTTTTCTTTATTGCTCTCTTTTCAGCAATGATGTAGACATGGAAACAGATCACTACTCCAATGGGGTTGCTGAGACTTCATCCAATGGCTTCCTAAATGGTAGTTCTAAACATGATCACGAAATGGAAGAATGTGACACAGAAATGGGTCTGCAGTGATATTTCTTACATTTTTATTAAGTGATGGCAACAAGGTTATGTTTTTACTTGCAATGCTTCCCAGCTTGAAAATTAGGGATACTAGCTCAAGTCTTAATTTTTCTTTGTTTGTTTTGCTGTTATTAGGTGGACATCTTATGACCACTGATTTAGGTGGTCCAATGTTGGTGTGAGAACAGGGGAAATTAGTAACTCACAGATATTGAAACTAGCATCAATTTCTAAGGAAGTACCTTTGAAAAGAAACATCCCATTGTGTAGCACACCCGGGTCAGGGTTGGCAGATTGCTTTTCCCTCTTCCCCTGGTCCCCTTACCATCCATGGTTCTTGTGGCATCTTTGCACTCGACAGGAAGAGTAGAAATTCCAAATCACTTCTGTTGAAGAATGCAAAGTGCTAATACTAAGTGTTGAAGGAGAGTGTTGTATTTGGGAACTGAAATGTAAAAAAAAAAAAGTTTTCCACCAAAAGAATACCCTGTTTTACATAGTTGTGGCCTAAAAAACGACTTTATTTTACTTAACCTGCTTTGTACTCAGTCATACCTGTTGACGTTTGTGACAAATGAGTATTTAAATACCCCCTGACTGGCAGCACACCATAAAAAGACTGTGTTTACTCTGTCAGTTAGGGTGCTACCTGTCCCTCTTGGGTAAAGGCAGTCAGATGACTTAAGTGCACACAGGCTGGAGCTTAGACAGGCAGAGCAGGCTGACCCTCTCTGAAGAAGTGGAGGAATCCAGCCCAGGCATTTGTGCAGCTGCAGAGCGATCTTCTCAACCAGCTGATTTCACCAGAGGTCAATGAATAGGTAGTTTAGATGAAATGTGAAACTGGGGACATGGCTGGTAAGCTTTCAGAACGCAGTAGTACTTGCAGGTATTTATGAACGCTTCACAGTTCTGAGGGCATGCGCCGCTGCTGATCCTGTGCAGCTTTGCTGGTAAATAACTGAGTAAAACAAATTTGAAAAGCAAATATAATTCTGTTACAGCCCTGGAGGGGGGGAGATTCAGATTTGCAGGCTGTTTCCCTGCATTACGCTCTGAAACTGGATAATAACAAGGCGTCATTTCTGTGACAGAAAACACAAAACACTTCTTTACTCTCTTGCAGCCTTTTCCACAGAGGCTTGCTGTGACAGACGTGAAGCAGCTGCACAGGGCACAGAGTTCTTTGTGATCGTGTTGTGTTTTTTTTTTTTTTTTTTTCAAATGTAGTTGTTTTCTGCCTTTGGAAAGTGTTGTCCTAGATTGGGCTGCAGCTAGCAACAAACACGGCTGCTTGAAGACTTGTGGGTGCTTCACCTTTGTAAAAAAAGAAATGTGGCTCCTCAACCTACATATTTACTCCCCACAGTTTGAGTTTGGTGGTTTTTTGCTTTTCAAAATATTTATATATTCTCCGTAGTGCTGTGTATGCAATGTTAAGTACACAGATTTTTTTTTCCATGGTGATATGCTCACATCTAAGGGAAAAAAAAAGTGAAGTGGCCACTTGCAAATCCTTGTTTGAAGTAGTGGTCAAAATACATCACTAGATAGCAATGTTAAAATCGGAGAGAAGGATGGTTTTGTAATCAACGTGTACATCAAAATTCTGATTCAAATGATTCCATTGATGAAAAAAGGCAAGGAATGGCTTTTTTTTTTTTTTTTTTTTTTTTAAAGCGGTCACTTTAGCTGTAAATGTAAAAAAGGCAGAACTTTCAGAGAAGCCAAGGGTTGATTTCACTCCTCAAAAACTGCATTCATGTCTTTTAAAATCACTGGCATGGGGGAATATTGTAGTGTTCTGCAGTGTTCTGCTTGATTACAAAAGAAGCCCCAAAAGTCCAAAATATTAAGCTAATATATCCTAGAAGGAATATGAACAGTCTAAATGATCGTCTTGGAGCAACATCCATCATGGCCGGTTTGGGAAGTTCAGGGGTTTTACCTTCTATTAGCAGTTCCGGATCTGGCGTATCTTTAGCAGTGCAGTGCCAAAGAACTAAAAAGGAAGAACTGTTATTGTTGTCGTTAATAACTTTAAACTCCCATAAAATTTGAGGGTAAAATTTGGATTGTAGCCTAGTTAGTTTAAAGTTAGCCATTGGAAAATAAACGACGTGTGTAGAGAGCCCTTGCCGCCAGTTAACCAGGTCTCTTAATGTTTAGAAAAGCAGCAGTTGAGCGGCGCGGGGCGTAGGAGTACGTTGTTACGCCGGGGTCTCTGGCCCGATGCGCTTTCTCTCTGAGAAGGCAGGTGTCTTTTGAGTGAAACGAGCGCGGGTTCTCTAGATCCAGAGATTGTTGTTGTCAGCTCTGTTGGCAGTGATGATGACGATACCATTTTTGCAGAAGTAGATTCAAGTCAGTTAAGACGTCAGCTCTGTGGCGGCAGCCAAGCGGCTATTGAACGAATGATCCATTTTGGAAGAGAATTGCAAGCCATGAGCGAGCAACTAAGAAGAGAATGTGGCAAAAACACAGCGAATAAGAAAATGCTCAAGGTACGTGCTTAATCTTGACATTGTGGGGTTAAGGTGAGTAACCATGCTGTGCCTGGCAGAACCTTCCCGCAGCACAGGGCATCGCAAGGGTTCTGCTTTAACCTCTGTGACTGCTTTTTTTTTTTTTTTTCTTTTTTTTTGGTCTGAGAGCAGTATTCCAGTCAGCTGCGGTGCAGCGCTGTCTCCTGTCTTGTCTCTGTAGCACATTCACAGGGAAGGTAATTTCACACTGTCGTATGGTTAAAACCAGAGATGAATTTTGCACTCTTACTTCACGTCTGACCACACAGGTTGGCCTCTCGAGTCCAAGTGCTATTTCCAGCTCTAAGGATAAATGAGCCGCAAGAAGGGAGCATCGCTACAGACGCCTAAAATGTGCTCTCTTTAGTACGCTGTGCATTAATTAGTTTACCTTGATTCCAGGCTGCTCTGGAAAATAATTCCCCCGGCGAAGACTGACTGCATGCAATTGTCGGTCTGTTCTCTCTTTCCCCTTCACTTGTTAAAATGCTGCTAACTTTCGTCTTTGTTGGGAAAAACACCGCTTGCTCAAAAGGGAGCAAGGCCTGTCGCAATTGCTTGTTATCCTTTTGTACCTACGAAGGAGACGGGCAGTCACCCTGGTGATTCTGCATCAGAATTGGCCCTCCTTTTCACTGGTAGAACATGGCTGTGAGATGTAATGAAAATCATCTTCCCGCAGGATGCGTTCAGCTTGCTTGCGTATTCGGATCCCTGGAGCAGCCCTGTTGGAAATCAGCTCGACCCGATACAAAGAGAACCCGTCTGCTCTGTACTCAATAGTGCAATACTGGGTACGTGGGGCCGGGGGCTCCCACGGGCGGCACCCACCACGTGGCAGGCAGCGCTGCTGCTCAGCCCGCCTCGTCCCCTGGGCTTAGGAGGGGGCTGGCCCAGGGATCGGCGAGGTTATGGCCACCTTACCGTACCCAATCCAAGCGAGAGGGGGGGTGGTTTGGGGGGGCATATGAATGCAACGGGTGTAGTGGGCGTCGGCAGTGGTGTTATTCAAAGCAAAAATGGGGCCTGTTCAGTAGCGGCGCTGTGCAGGGAATTTGACAGTGTCACTTTGTGGCTCCAGCTGTGCCTTGCTTTAAGAGCAAACTTGGCAAGTCAACACAGGAATTTTGGAGTGAATGATGTAAGCAAGCTTCAAGTTTTCGGTGCGTTAGAGCGAAATGCATTAGTGGGGTGTTTTAACTAACTGCCACTGTGCTGCCTTTCCAGAGACTCACAATCTGCCAAAGCAACCTCCGCTTGCCCTGGCAATGGGGCAAGCGTCACAGTGTCTAGGATTGATGGCTCGATCGGGAATTGGATCCTGCGCCTTCGCCACAGTGGAAGACTACCTACACTAGCTATGCAGTTGGAGACCTGACAGGCGGCGTGGCGTGGCGTACTCGGCGTGGCAAGTAGAGCAGCTCTGCTGACTGGAATTTGGAGTTTTAATTATGTACTAAGGACAAGTCTGTCGCTTTATGTTGCTTCCTAGTTTACAGCATGATGCAAATGATTTCTAACTTAGCGTTAGGAGACAGTTTCCATCTTTAAACCTCTTAGACAACTAAGAGTGGGAAATATCCCTGGTAACGTCAGCCATCCAAATTGACAAGTACCAATCCTTTTATACGATTGTCCGACACGAACCAAAAATCCTGCTGCCTTGTGGTGGGAACGGAAGAACGGAGAACGTGGATGTATTAGTGTGTGGGTGATGTAAACGTCAAGCAGGATGACTTGCCAACCTCCACCCCCCTTGTTACATAGCTCAATCAGTGTAATTTGCAAAATGCATAAACACCCAATGGTTTGGATATATAGTGTTGATGGGAAGAAATGATATTTTTTAATGTGTACTGTAAAACTTGAATTACTCAGGAGCTGAGTGAACATGTTTGTTGCTACTTACAATCCCAACCTGTTGATCTTAGTAGTTTTTTGTTTTAACATGGTCTTTTCAACTTTGTTTCCTTGTTTAACTACGGACAGCTTCTGTTGTGTAGACTCACCAGTTTAACTGTTGTATTATAACAGTATTACATGTCAACACAGTGTGGTTATGACCTATTTATATAAAAACCAAATATTTAGTCAATTTACAGTCTTAATTTAATCTTTGTACACCTTGCATTTTTAAAAGTGCTTAAATAGTACTATATTGCAATAAAATGTAGTGATATCATAATTAACCAGCCATTAAAAACTTACTTCTACAGCCGTGGTAGCATGGACTTGTATGCTACATTTTCTCGGTTCTAGAGTTCCTCTGCTGGAACAGGGGTCCGCAGGGCAGGCCCAGGAGTTCAGGAGGATGGCTCACTGCTCCCGGGGGGGCCATGTCCCCCCAGCGGAGTGCTACAATCTCTGGGCTCTCAAAAGTTAAAGGTTTACAGTGCTCTGGCCATGAAGCAAGTCTAGGGAGCAGAGCCAAGCCAAGGCAGGGAGGGGAGCTGACTCCGTGCTCCCTGCAGAGGGGAGAAAAAAAAAAAAACCAAAACAAACCCTCATTCCTGGAAAGCAGGCACCAGTCTGGACAGCAGCATCCCTGCTACCTGAACCCACTCTGGTATTTACGATAAGAGCCTGCCTCTAGGGTCCACGCGTGACTGGAAAAGCAGGAATAACTGTTTCAAGAAACGCAGCTGCCAGAACAGTTAAGTACAATGTTGTTCCTCTTTATTCTCTGCAAAGCTGCTGCCTGGGGGAGTAGCACCCAGCTTGACAAGCCTGGTCTTAACAGCAGCTGCTCTGTGTCACTGCTGAGGATGAGGGGGTCACTGCCCTGGCCCAGCTGCTGCTTCGCTTCCCTGACCACTTCTGAAAGGCAGAGGGGAGAGAGGAGGGAAGACAGTTGAGGCCCAGCTCAGTGAAGGTCAGTGCCTGCTGGGGGCTGGAGCTGGAAGCAGAGTGATAATGGAGAAGTGGGAGGGGGAAAAAAAAAACCACAAACCACCCCGCCTTTGCTGTGGTGAGAGACTTTTACTGAAAGTCCTTAATAGCATCTTCTGAAAAAAGCTGTCTTCATAGTCAAGTTTTAATCTGTGCTGCGAGCCAACGTTTCTTAAACCTTGTTGCTCTTTGCTTTTTCTCTTGCCCTTAAAAAAAAAAAACAAAACCAACCGTAAGTTACCATTTTCAGAGCCCGCCTACTGGAGAAGCAGCAATCCATTGATTACCACAGGGTTTCAGAACAGGAGACCTGACTGGCGCACCAATAAACTTCCTATCAACAGCTGGGCCAGGGCTGCCAACTTGCCCCCATGTCCCTCAGGAGGGCAGGGACAGCAGCAGTGCTTTCATTGCTGAGGAGCAGACCTGGTTCCTGCTCAGGGTCAGTAACTTTTGCCCCTGGTCTTCACCAGCCTCACAGGCCCTGCTCGGTGGGGCTGTTACTGCCAGGTGTATGAGCCCTGCCCTGTTCCTTTCTGTAATGTCAGGTTTTTTTTTAATGAGGAGGCATCAGCGCTATTTCCAGACCTTCTGGGGCCTTGGCATCCCTGCTGTAAGTTAAGCTTTACACATATCTGAAATGGCTTCCAACAGCTCAGGGTCTGTGGGCTGAAACAACCGTTAGTATTTATTTCAACAAGGAAACGCGGCTCTGGGCCCAGATGCCGTTTCTTAATGTACCAAAACCGAGGTTAATTTTTTCAAGTTGTTTCTCACAGGCTCTCCCCTCCCTCCCCCAGAGCGCTCCCTACACCCACCCAGGCTGCAGAGCCCTGATGCCCTTCCCGTCAGGTTCTTTGAGTAAGAAGGTAGCAAGATGCAGCCCTCTAATGTGGGGAAGTTTTTCTTTTTTTTTTTTTTTTAAAAAGTGTACTTTGAACCACATGCGCGCACCGTAGTACCTACGGTGCCTTCTTTTACTCACCCCAAGATTTGTCCACAAACTGGACTGCAGCTTTTTTAACTGGGTTTTTCTTATTTTCAAGGGAAAAAAATTCATTTGCTGAAATGGAGATGAGTGTTTGTTAATTACTAAGCTTAAGGCAGCAAAATCTAGATGCAGACCCAGCCAAGGAAAACAGCTTACCCTGTACCCGGTTGGTGTCTGGTCCGTAGAGGTGAGCGTTCAGAAAGTCCTTGGCGAGCTGTTCGTGGAGGCCTGTTAAGCTCTGACCTGCCAAGCACACAGCCGTGTAGTTTCCTTTCGACCTAGTTAAAAGAGCGAGAGGTGTAAATCCCTGCACCGCGGTTACAGAACCCAGAACACCAGAGGCACCGGTCAGAGCTTTGCTACTCGAGCACAACAGCGGCTAGTGCTGGGGTTTGATGCCCAGCAAAGCTCTGTAGCAGTATTAAAAAAAAAAAAAAAAAAAAATTAGACCAAGATGCTCAACCTGTCCCTGTACACCTCTGCATGCCCCACGTGGTTCCTTGGGGGGCTTGAACTACTGCCACCAGAAGCTAGCGCAACTCCCTGCAATTCCTCTACAGGGACATCAGTGACAAAAAAAAAACCCCACCAAACAAACAAACAAAAAAAAACAAAAACAAAAAACCCAACAGAACTGAAATGCAGGAATTCAGCACTCAACCAGCAGACCTACAGCAGCATGTAACAAAACGTCTCCTGCTGTGCTTACGACAGCAGTTAGATAAATCACTTACAGATTTTTTATATATACGTGTGTACATATGTTACCCATACGCTGTCTCACAAGCGCATTACAAGCGCTTTTAGCACATAGGTAACTATGCTTTCGCTCAGAGGAAGAGCAGGGGGAACGTCTGGTGCAGAGAAGCGCGCAGCCACGCTCTGGCAGAACTGCTGCTGGGGAGCCCCTGCCCCAGGCAGGCGGGAGCAGCCCCCACCAGCTGGGGACAGACACCCCCGGAGCCTCGGCCCCCAGCGTACCTGGCACCCTTTTTCCGCTTGTCTGTCTTCACCTGCTTTTGGGCTTGGCCTTGCCTTTGGACTCGGCCTTGTCTCTGTTTCACGGCCCCACCTCCACGGTGTTTATCTATGGCAAATTTAACAGAAAACAGAAAAAAATTGCTCAAACATTACGAATCGAGAGCTGTAAGTGAAGGAGAAACGGGAATGAAACAACTGTGAGGCTGTGGAAAAATAAGACGCCTTTAGTTAACTCCGACGGGGATTTTTCGGAAGGTCTGAGTAGTATGAGCTAGAAAGCCCTCACAGAAGGGCTGCGAGCGGGAGGGCAAGAAGCACGCCTCGGGGGAGCCACCCGACGCACCGCCGGCCAGCTTTCCCCTCCCCTGGCATCAGCAACACGAAAGGGGATTCACCACCGGACAGAAATGCAAGGCAGCACAACAGCTACGAGTAACGCGCGGAAGGGAGCGGGTCCAGCCTCGGCTTCGTTCTCGCCCTTCTGCAAGTACCTGGAGACTGAGCGTTCAAAGCATCACCCTGAGCTCATCGCTTGTTTATGCCAACAGACTTTTTTTTTTTTTTTTTAAACAATAATAAAAACTAGAGAAAGTAGCAGTCACACCATCCAGCTATAGAATTAGGCAAGGTACGGGTGAGAGAATTATTTTAAAAAGTAGTTGTGGGGTTTTTTTTTTTAAAGTACTTTGAAGTACGGATGAAGAGGCCTAGAAAAGAGCAGTCGTGCATCCTCTCGACCCTTGATTTTTCTAGTTCAGAATTTGAAAAAAAGCCACCTCATTTTTCACAGGTGCTATTAAATCACGGAACAAGCAGCAGCATATCAATGTGATTAACAAGTCTGTCCAGGAACGGCCTTTATAAACTTGGCTCAAACGCTAAATATTATTCTCCCTCCAGCGCTCCTTCCTTTTTCCAGTTACTCCCTGAAGCCCCTGGGGCTCTTTTACCGCCCGCCGCCGCGGAGGCCAGCGCCCTACCCCACGACCGCTCCAGCA